GCCCCGCACCCCTTCCTCCCGCCTCCAGTTGGAGCCGGGCCTCACCAGCCCATAATATTCCCTAGTCTCCTAAGGCTGTTCCAGCCCATAATACTCTCCCTGTCTCCTAAGGCCTCTCCATCCCATAATACTGCCAGACGCCTGACCTGTGGGCCAAACCCCAGCCCGTTCCACACATCGAGGCTGCGTCGGCGCCGGTCTCCCCGCCGGCCCCCTCCCTCGCGAGCCGCGCTGTCCCTCCGGCGCTCCCCGCCCTCCGGCCCCTCGCCCAGCCCCACCCGTGCCTGCCTGGCCCCTGCTTCCCCTGCAGCCTCCTCCCTTGCCCTTTCTCCATTGCTTGCCCCTTCCTGCACTCTTCCGCCTACTCCTTGGTCTGTGGGATGGACATCAGCCTGGTGGGGAGTGAGTGCCCCAGAGGGCAGCGGGCCAGCCTCTGCCCCCAAGACTGCCTGCTTGACCTAGCACCATGGAAACGTGCCCAGCCGCCTGCTCACCAGCTCGCTGGCCCTCCTGATTGCTGGCAGAGCGCTGCCTGGGTGAGGATTCACCTGGAGCCATCTTCCAGAAACACTCCCCTTGGGCACCTGGAGTGGAGAGACGTTACCAGTGGTCCTCCTGGACAGGGCATTCCCAGTGCCTTTCCAAGGTGATCCCATGGACCCCAGGACAGTCCAGTGAGGAGACAGTATGGGCCCCATTTCACACAGAAGGAAACAGGCTGAGGGCGGTCAAGTACTTTGCTGAAGTCCCATTGCCAACTAGTGATGGACCTGAAATTAGGGCTCAGGGTTGCTTGATTCCAGAGTTCTGGGAGCCCTTGCGAATCCCTCCATGTGAGACACTTCCCTCTCCCGTGTTTCAGTGCTCTGGAAGGATAGCATGAGAATTAACCCAGGCTCTTTGTCTCTAGGGCCTCCTGAAAAAACCAACAAACGAGGACAACCACAAAGAAGGAAGCCTGGGATGAGATTAAGCCGGGGTGAGATTAATCTCCCCTTCCCCATTTCTTCCATGGAACAGCGCGGGAATTTCTCTCCAAATGGTTCAAGACTGAGAAGGAAGCATCTCTGGCCTCCCGTGGGATCCCGTCTGTGCTTCTGTCTGATTGTCCTGAACTTGTTTCAAGACCAATGACTGTCACTCTTCCCCAGCTACACTCCCCACGGGCAGGACCCATCCCACTGAGGAACCCAGAACCAGGGGACTGCCCTCTCCTCAGCTGAGTTGGTAGACAGTCAAGAGGGCTGCCTTGGAAACGTTGGGGACGTCCAGGCTAGGGGAGAGGTCACGGCCAGCTGCAGGCTATCTAAGCCATCTGCTCGTGTGCACCACCAAGCTCCTCCTTCCTGAGTCGTCCACGGACTGTGTTTTAGGGCCCTGCCCAATCAGGACCCTGAGTGAGCCCCCTCACAGGCACGCTGTGTCCAGCACAGGGCTGATGTCTTCGGAGAGGAAAGGGGTGGGTGTGCCGTTGGGTAATGGATTAGGAGCCCGGAGGAAGCATGGGAAGAGGCAGGCTAGATCATCTGGCAGAGTCAAGCTGAGCCAGGCAGATGGTGTGGACCAGAGGAGAGAAGCTAGAAAGCAGGCTGGTCTGTAATGGGCCAGGGGGATCGGGAAGGGGAGATAGAGGAGGATGTAGGCCAGAGAGTAATTCAAATAGAGACTGAGCCACGTTCCGCTTGTGTGACCTTAAAACCCACCGCCAGACTCCCACGTGGCCGGCTGTAGCTCAAGTCCCAGACCCAGTGGCTTGAAAATCACACTGGGCACATGTATGTGAGTGCTCAAGATCCCAGAAGGAGAATGGAGGAGAAGGGATTGCAGTGTGGCCATCCCCCCTAGGGTGATTTCTCTCTTTCCC